ATAAGCTGTTTATCAATGTCAAGTTCAATGAGGTTTAGTCTCAATAACTCATTTTACTATTACACAATTGAAATTCCGATATTATTGTATTACAATAGTTACCACAAAGTGCATTACTATTAAGTTAATAGATTAGATTTTTTTTTTTTTTAATACCGAATTTTATGCCGACTAAACATTGAAGTCTTATTTTTTCAAATATTTTATTCGGATAATCAAATAATTAATACTGTAAAAACAGGTCTAAGCCCACGGACAGCTCAAAATTGCTAGTATTTTTTTAGATACGAAAAAAAGAATTTAGAACTGTTTCAAAATAATTTTTTTTTACATGGCCCGTTTTGAGAGCGAGCCCATGCGGGCCAGACTGGATAGATCCGTAGATTACCCACTTTAGGAGATCAAAGCAAACCACAATTGTGTTATGGTAAAAGTCACAGGTAGCGGTGTAAAATGGTTAGGAATATCAATCTAAATCAAAATTCCAAATCGACTTTTAATTTGAGATGGAATGTATTTTTTAAAATATTGATATATGGAATATGGAACCAAAAATTAATAGAAAATGCCATATTCCGATCCATATACCGAAGTTTTATTTTTATTTTTTTTTTTTTTAGTTTTATTTTAATATTCTAACAATAAGATATTAATCTTGAGTAAAATGTTTTCAAATTTGAACATAAAGACTCTTAGTTCATTCTAAAAATTATATAGTGTTTAACAAAATAATTTAATCATAATAATTATTAATATAGGCTTGATATCCAGGAGTCAAATTAAAAGAATGAAATATACTTTGCAGAGTCATAATTTGCATGTTTATCATCGATCTTCTTAAGTCTTATCAAGTAATTAGGAAAAAGTATTGATCTTTATTTTTTTTGCTTGATAAGAAAATTTCTTTTTTGATAATTAACTTTGAAAAATTTCTGAAATTTTTTATATGAATTACTTTCTTAACCTTTTTCTTGCTTTTAATTCTTATTTCTCTTTCTAAATTTCTTGTTTTTGAATTTTATTATATCTATTTCATGGTTGCACTAACTTTTATATTTTGTGCATTTGATGTTGCTTTGTTACTAATTGAATGAAAAGTTGTCAGGTGAAGGTATATCCTCATTTCTAATCAATAAGCTTGAATTTATTATTTTATTGCAATTTAATTATGCTTTTTAATATTTATATCTAATTTTAAACAATTATATTGATTATTTTTTTCTTAAATTTAAAAATTTATATCTTAAAATATATCATAATAGATTAGATTTGTGTTTATAATTTCAAATTTTGGAATTATCGAATTCCAAAATAAATTTCCGTAAAAATAGTATGAAATGAAATTTTAAATTTCAAAAAATATTTGGAAGGGAATAGAATGAAATTTTGAATTCTAAATTTTGAAATAGAATCAGAACGAGGGCATTCCGTTCCATATTATCCGAATTACACCCCTAGACTCACAACTCTGAGAATTACTGCAGTCATAATTTAAAAAAGGAGGACAGAGATTTTCACAAAATTTTCACACTTGTGGATCTGATTTTGTATATTAAAATTACATCTAGACAAGTTAAGATAGATATGGACTGACATTTAATCTATTAAGTTATCCCAATTTAGTTAATCGTTTGCATGAGTTTAATTAGTTTTCAGAATGGAAAAAAAAAAAAAAATTAAAAACAAACATGTTCTAGCCAGACCGAGCATGAAAATTGAAAGCTCGTTTTTTAACGGGCTCTTTTGGCTCGGCCAATTTTATGACCAAGCCCTCACGGGTTGAGTTGGTCCAGGCTGGACTACCCATTTTGACAGTATACAAACAAGGGATATTATACTAAATCTCAGTTTTTAAACTTATTTTTAAAAATGTCAATTTGACTTTAAGATTTAAATTATTGTCAGTTAAGATATATTTTTACTTTTGTGACTTTTTTTTAATTTGTAAGGCGTTAGTTTGTTAATATTTTAGTATTTTAATTTTTTAGTGTTTCCTTTTGTATTAATTTCCTATTTTCATTTTTTTTTCCTTCTTTTAGTTTGTTTTCTTTTTTTGATGCCGTTTTTTTCAGCCGACATTCTTCACGCCATATTTTCACAAGCGATTAATTATTCTTCTTCTTTATCTTTCAATCGTAGACTTGAACTTTGACTCAGATGGCAAGACCGACATGCGAAACATCATTGCATGCACACTCGGAGTGAGAGTCCTCACCAGATAAAGATTTTTGTTCTACAATTTAATTTTCATTTTTGTTTATGTTCTTTAATGAAAAATCAATTACTAATTTACGAGGTCATCTCCATAGATGTTATTTTGTTTTGAAGAGACATGGTAGGACTCTAGATTCTGTTGGATTAATACTGATACAGTACATATATATATATATATACCGGATTTACTTAATTTGATCCAATTTATTAATTATACACACACACACATACACACACACACTCAATTACTAATTTACCAGAGGTCATGTCTTGGATGCATAGATGTGTAATTTGTGGTGTGTTTTGGGAAGTAGGACATGGTTAAGGACTCTCAGATTCTTGTTTGTGGAATTAATACTGTAACAGTACATATAATATATATTACGGGGGTTATGCATTACGTGTGCAGATTGTTTTTTACGCATGTCATTGTGTGGATGGTATCACGACTTTTGCATCTGGCTGGTATACTAGGCATTCGGTGTGGTGAGTGTGCACGATACTTAATTTTGATCCATGTGGAGTGCTGATTAAATTAATACACACACACACATACACACACATTCTAGATGTGGATGTATTGTTCGTTGTAAACTTATCGATGGTCGCGTCACTTGTCGTGCCGACACATTCCGAGCAGCCGAATTTACCATTTGGTAAGAGTCGAAGAAGGATGTGGCGTGTCGCAGACTGTGTGACTTGCAGGAGTTTTCTGGGAAGTCGGGAACTGTTGTGCCGTCTTGGATTGGGAAGCTGGGCGCATGTTGCTTGGCCGGTGTTAACATCGAGTAGATGGTAGTTGTGAGGGTGGCTTGCTGAGTCGCTGTGTGTTGAATATAATGATTCTTCAATTAGGATGAGTCCTGGCGATTGATTAATTGTAGTTGTGTGGTGAAGCTGTCCTTTTGTATTAATTTCCTATTTTCATTTTTTTTTCCTTCTTTTAGTTTGTTTTCTTTTTTTGATGCCGTTTTTTTCAGCCGACATTCTTCACGCCATATTTTCACAAGCGATTAATTATTCTTCTTCTTTATCTTTCAATCGTAGACTTGAACTTTGACTCAGATGGCAAGACCGACATGCGAAACATCATTGCATGCACACTCGGAGTGAGAGTCCTCACCAGATAAAGATTTTTGTTCTACAATTTAATTTTCATTTTTGTTTATGTTCTTTAATGAAAAATCAATTACTAATTTACGAGGTCATCTCCATAGATGTTATTTTGTTTTGAAGAGACATGGTAGGACTCTAGATTCTGTTGGATTAATACTGATACAGTACATATATATATATATATACCGGATTTACTTAATTTGATCCAATTTATTAATTATACACACACACACATACACACACACACCGAATTTACCATTTAATCGGAAAATCTAGTTTTCGGTTGTTTGTTTCTTCAATTATGGAAATGAAGTCACAAAATTATTTTGTATATATACCTGATTTTTCTATTTTCTTTTCCTAATTTATCTGATTTTGTGGAGGTTGTCGTGAGTGAAGGAGAGACGGTTAGTTTTAGGGTTGATTCTGTTTGGACTTTATTTTCAGCATGCTTATCGAGATGGAAGATTGCGCGGTTATGAGATTATTTTGAAGCAGATGTGGTTAGTTTTAGGTTAGAGCTGACCGTTACTTATGTTTTAACAGTTGTCATTTATTTTGCAAAATTAATTTTGGTATTATTAAATTTATTATTATCTTAATAAGTATCTTTTATGCCATTTAGTTAAATTTGAAACCTTATATCTGACATTTGTTAAATTATCCCTGCAAACAACTCGTCCAACAAAAATAGTAATAGCATTTTGAAAGTGAAATAGTAGAAAAAAAATGAATTTAAAGATAACTTTAATAGAATATCGAAAACCGAAAATGATCTATCTTTTGTTTATGAAGAAATTATTAATTCAATTTTATGAGTATGTTGGAGTTATCCTTAAAATACTTAGCATACACTTCACTTTTCTAATGCGTTGAAGCGATCCAACAAATCCTTTGTATTCACTTTTCTGGAATTCTTGTTCAAATAATTATTAATTGCTCAAAATAATAACTAACTAAAACACATTTTTGTTTTTATATTTAAAAAAAATAATAATTTAGGCTTATTAACGGTGTCAAGGCCAAATAAGGAAACATCATTAATATATTGGCATTATTCTCTTGCTAAGAGAAAAATACATGTTGGCGCTGTACTCTTGGGTTGAGATGTTGTTATATTAATAGAACTTACTTCCTTTGTAGGTTGAGATGTTAGAAGAAATAATGTGAAGTGAGAGCTATGCCTCCCTAAAATCAAATTTAGAAAATAAATCATTTTCCCATTTGATAAGTGCTAATTAGGTCTTTAAGTTTTACAAGTAAAATTTCAAGTTTAATCTTTAATTGAAGCTTAATTAATACTTCCTCCATCATATTAATCTTTACAAAATTTCAAATCACATAAGAATTAGGAAAATCACTGAACAATTTCAATTTTAGAAAAAACTTGTTATGATTAACTAAATTATCCTTTTACTCCAATCATCGATTAACAGAAATAAGTTTAGTTAAGATATCTAGCTAGATAATCCCCTAACAAAATCTAGGGTAAAATTGAAAAAAAATAATTAATAACTTCTAAATATTCTAGAATGCGAAATGCAATGGGAAAAAGAATTAACATTTTATCGAGATTAATGAAACTCAGACAGGAGTGACTGTAAAATATTTAAGAAGAGAAGCCTTATACTAGAATAAGATAAAAAGAAAAGCACAAAGGAAAAGACAAATACAGAAATCCTTACATCAAAGTAAAGCAAAATCAGAATATTTTGTCAAACAGAATTCTTACATAAACTTTTCAACAATACATTAGACCATAATGAGATAAAATATATTTGTATAAAAATTATTGTTTCGTCTTTAAATTAAACCCAAACACCATATAAATCTAGTCTTTAACTCCTCCTCTTCCCTTTCTTTTTCTTCTCAAAGAAACAGGAAGAGGTGGAATGCTCTGTTCATGCCTGAAAAAATTATCAGGATCAACCTTAGTCTTCACTTGCACCAGTCTATTAAAATTATCCTTAAAATACTTGCTACCCCAAGAAGTAGCTTCTAAAAAGCTAAAATTACTCTTCTTGTTCACACCCAAATCAAGATCCCTGTAATTAACATAAGCAGTTCTCGGAAACATTGAAGCATAAGGGGCCATATAATTGTAAAGCTTTCTTATCCAATCCATATGCTTGGCTTCACTCTTTTCTCCATCTTGCCAACTTGTCAGATACTGAACCATGAACAAATTCCCCTTTCTATGAGGAAATGGAATTTCAGATTCTGAAATCTTGCTCATCATTCCTCCAAAAGCATTCCAAATCATGAATGGATTTTCCTCTTCCAAGAATCTTTTCCAGAGACCTTCTAGTCCAGTTTCAGGAATAGGTTCTTTAATAAAATCTGATTTTGCTTTGAAGTAATTTTTAAATAAAGATTTACCCTGCAGTAAAACTTCAGGTGCAGTAGTACTCGGGTAACCCGCTATATATAAAACCGATTTGATCCAACTTGTTTCAGTACAATCGTTTCTGGTTAAACCCAATTCAGGAAAACCACTTTGCATAACATGGAGAAGTCTGTTAACATCGCCAAGAAACAAGGCTTGATAAGAAGTTGATACAGTTCGTACAGTAGTATTACCAACATTAGCCGGTGAGATTAGAACTCTAATAAAAAGATCTTCGTCAAGCTTATCAGCGACCTCAGTCCATCGGTGAAGAATTTTAGTACCGTGTTGTTCTAAAGTTTTTGTAACTGTAAAAACTGTTACCGTAGAGGGAACAGGAACTAATTTTAGTTTCCAAGAAACGATAATTCCAAAACTACCCCCAGCGCCGCCTCTAATTGCCCAAAATAGATTTTCCCCCATAGCTTGACGATCGAGCAGTCTACCATTAACATCAACAATATGAGCATCAATTACATTATCGGCACCAAGGCCGTACTTCCGCATCATTGGACCATATGCGCCGCCGGTAATATGACCACCGATTCCTAAACTGGTGCAAAGTCCGGCCGGAAAGCCGTGGGTTTTGCTTTTTTCTGCAATTCTGTAATATGCTTCGCCGATGGTGGCGCCGGCTTGAACCCATGCACTGTTATCGTCAATATCAACGTAAACAGAGCGGAGTTTTGACAGATCTATAATAATGAAAGGATTTTCAATTTGTGATGCATAGGATAAACCTTCATAATCATGACCGCCACTACGGACCCTAAGATGGATACCCAACTGTTTCGAACAGATAACGGCAGCTTGGATATGGGTTTCGTGTAACGGGGTGAAGATGAATTGGGGTTTAGGAACGGAAGGTAATAAGTAACGGAGGTTCTGAGCGGTGGATTGTAAGACTGAAGAGAAGGAAGAATTGTTTGGTGTGAAAAATGAATTAGAGAAAGGAATTATGACTTCAGAATTGAGTTTCAGACATTGGAGAAAGGAGTCGACAATCGGAAATGAAAGAATGCAAGAAGGTGAGAGTAGAAGGAAAAGAACAAGTATTGAACAAGAGATTGGAGAATCCATTTTTTTGGATTTGTGTTTTGTGTTTTGTGTAAGTGGAGCTATGGAGTTTCTTTTTTATAGCGAGTATGGGTTTGATTACAAGTTGATGACATTGTTATTGAGCTAATCCTAACGTCACGGTTGAGGGATGGAAAGACTAATTAAGTAGTACTGTAATTGAGCTAACCAAAGAAATATAATAATACTAATAATTTGACAACATTGTAATTAAGCTAATCCTGACAGCACGTTCAAGGGGATGGATATATTAATATATTAATTTAGGAGATTATTTCGGGTCAAATTTTAATATATTATTTTTTATTTTATACATAAAAGACTTAATAAAAGACTTAACACGTGATGAGAACGTATGAGCTACACAATACTAGTAATATCTTATTTTGAATAATATAGTATTCACTAAATTGATGATAATTTTTGTAATGGAAAAAACTCGAACTTGAGACCTTTCATACTTTATCTCTTATAAAAGATATGAAAAGACTATGAGACTATATATAATTGATAAAATTAACATATTAATTTATCTAAATTTAACACTTAAATTTTAATATTAAGCTTTCATTCTTATATGTTTATTATTCCTTTCTCGGTTTCATACTGGCTTTTCTAGAGGTGGACTATTAAAAGTATTTTTTTTTTAAAAAAAAGAATATAGTTAATTTCTCTATTTCACATTATTTTAAATTAATTTAAAAAGAAAAAAACTCTTTTTGTCCCCTATATGAATAATTCACTTTTCTTTTTCATGTGTCATTTGTACCTCTATCAACGATTATCAAATTTTGAAATAAACCTAACTATTATTATTGTCACCTAAATTAATCAATTCCATTACTTTGACTGATTTTTTTTATTAGTTTTAGTAATTAATTTCAAAAATAGTTTAATATGAGTTATTTAAGTAATGGAGTAGTATGGGCCATTTAATATTAATATAGGGATACTATTAGAAAAAAAATTATGATCTAATTAGTTATATTAACTTTATTTTCTTAATCCAAGTGAAAGTTAAAATATATTAAAAAAATTCAAAAAAAAAAGTGTATTGAAAAAAAAAAGGAGAAAATGTAGTTTTTAAAAGTATATAGTCACATTAATTTGTGCTATGATATCCCACCCACAAATAATCCTTTTACCTAAATGTTGCTTCAAAACAATATATATTTATACATACATACATATATATTAAAAGTATAATAGTCACATTAAATTTGTGCATGATAATCCCAACCCACAAACTAATCCTTTTACCTAAATGTTGCTTCAAAACAATATATATTTGTATACATTACAAGTAACTATTATATATATATTATAGATACTATATACTATATATATATTATATATAAACACAAATTTATAATTTTGTAAAACTACCTAGAAACAAATGTTTGATATATATAAACACAATTTATAATTTTGTAACTACTAGAAACAATGTTTGGAAGTTAAATGCTCAAGTGCCAAACAAGTATGTTTATTGAAGCTTCTTTCTCTCAAAAAGCAAACAATCAACTCATGAATTATGAGATTAGCTAAAATTGGAAAGTTGTGCATATGATGGCAAAAAATTAACTTGTTAATTATGGTAACATCTGAAAATTATGGGGATAAGTTAATTTAAAAAAAAAAAAAATCATTGCATTATATAGAATTGCTTTTCGATAATCATTGTATTAAAATGAGATTTTAGTTAATAAGTTAATTGATGGATAGAAAAAACTCACTAAATGTTTTGATTTACATGATAAAATTGATTGGACCGATAGTAGGGGGTGAAGTTCGAGTTTAAAGTTAGGAATGCTGGAGGAAAGAATTGAATGGTTAAAATGTAACTCAAATGTTCTATTTGCTTGCTATATAGGAAAAATTACTATACAATACATGTAGTTCGCGAAATACGATTAGTTCGGCTCTGTGTTTTTTAAAATATGTCAATTTATCTCTATATTTTGCTTCCGTTATACTACTAGGTCCTTTTATACATTCTTTACATTTTTTTTGTCAAGTCAATAAGAAAACATACAAGGTAAAGAAGAGATATTAAATATTATACCAAAAAAAATTACAATGCAGTCTCTATAGTTTGAAAAATACAACTAAGCCATCCCTATAATTTTAACAATAAAAGGGGTATTTTCGTCATTTTATAAGGTAATAATGTAAAAATTGAACCGAAGGATCTTATAGTTTGACGGAAGTAAAATATAAGGATGTTTTAATCTATTTAAAAAAAAAAAACAAGGATGAACTAATTGAACCACGTAGATCGTACTGTAATTTTTTGTGTATAGAAAGATAATTGTACTGTGTTATCCCATATTTATGTACTTGTTTTGTAAGAATATGCGGTTAAACCAAAACATAGTCAACTCATCCAAAGAGATTTAAGTATCATTTTTACTGCTCGAAAATCAATATGAAAAACATATACTATGAATGCATAAATTGTATATCTTTTGTGTATGTTCATATATCTTTTTTTGAAAATTGAAAATAGAGATACATGTGAAAGCGAAAGAGAGAGTATCAATTTGAGAACCCATCTGCTGTGTCGGTCATTTATAGCATAGTCAATTCCAAGTCAACTAATTATGCAAAACAATAAATTCAAACAAAAATAAAAATAAAAAATGGTGAGACCATGTGTTCCTTCTTTGCTTTCACGCATTAATTCAAGGAAGACCACAAAGCGAAGCAAGTTGTTTGTACTAAGCTTTGGTCATTAAACTTTCGTACTCTATACCATACTTTTTTCTCAATCTTTAACATTAATTGATGCTTCACAACTCCTTCTGCCAACTTGAATTTTGAAATCAAAGTAAAACAACGAGGCTAATCCGCTAAATATATAATTTAATATCTAAAATTTAATAAAAAAAAACATTGTGGCACTCAAAATCAATTTTGTGGCATCTTGAATTTCTATTTTTGTAATAATTTAATTCCTTGTTATGCTAGAAATTTTTAAGGTTTTTGATTTTATATACAAAATATTGATTTGATATATAGTTAGTATAACTTTTAAAACAATATTTTTCACATTTTTTAACGATCCAATAAATATTTAATCAATCTAATTTTATAAGTTAAGATATTTAATAGGTTAATTAAAATATTTAATAGATGAAGTTTTATAAATCAAATAGATATATAAAAAGAAAATAGAGTAAGAATGTGAATTTTGTAGATTAGAAATAATTAAAAAAACTGGATTGGGAAAGTTGTCCCCGTAACGTCTTTAGGACAATATTTTCTCTCTTTCTCTTTTCTCTCAACTTATCGAACCTCAATTTTAGTTGAGTTAATTTTTTTTTTTTTTTTTTTTTTTTGTCCCTTTTTCCATTTTGTCTTTGTTTGTGAAGGCTTGTTGTTAAATAACCGTATAGTATTTAATTTTATTTAATTGGAGAATTTACATCTTGATTTGTGAATGTATCTTCGATTAATGGAGTCAGACAGTGTGGTCAATTCCTCCACTGATACTGTCGACGTATAGTGCGATAACTCATATTTGTCATATGCAACCAATTCTTGAAAAACAATATAAGTATAAAAGTTCCATTTAAGTTACTTTATCGTCCAAATAAATTAAAAGACCAAGTGCTATAATGGAGACGCATGGAATAAAGTTAAATTTGACCATGAGCTTGTTTTAAAGTTTATATTATATTCCATTTTGTATAACCAAATGTAGTTTTAAAGTTTTAATTTGTAATTTTTCCTTTTTGAATTCGTACATTTATTATTCCAAGAGTTTTTATATCACTAATTATATAATGTAAACTTGTGAAAATTATTAGGGAACATTTATTATTTTTTTCACCTTGTAGTTCATAATGTTCAATTTATTTTTTTATAATAGTAAAAATAAAAGAACATAATTGAATTGTTGAATAGCATACTTGGTAAAATATGGACTTCTTATATTTCTAGAAAATAGCAAGAAACTACAATTTGAATCAATATCATTGACTCAGTGATGTAGATTTTCTTTTTTCATACGTTTCTGAAGAATACGGAGAGGGTTTAAAGTTTGAATTCATATATATATAAGTGTTTTTTCAATTTTCAAGAAAATCTCAATAAAATTAGGCGAAAATGTAATGAGTAAAAGGAATAGGGATTTGGAAAGGTAAGATAAATGTGCCCATTTTCGTGTCTGAATATAGTTTTTTTTTTTTTTTTTTTTTTTTTTTTTTTCTCTATTACGTGTTTTAAGGAAAAATTTGGATCAAAATACTAAAACGAACATTCATATGGAGAAAAATTCAGGCTTAACGGTGGTTTGTTATCATTGATAAAAAACAAAAACTGTTTTTGATTTTTTATTTTTAATTTTTGAAAACTGTTCTTTTTTTACTATGAATTTGTTTTCTTTATATATATATATATTATCATTTTTTTATTTAAATATAAGAAACTTATTCAAAAGGAAATGAATTATTCTGTTACGGAGACTTGTAAGAAAGACACGTAGAAGAGATACTTGTAGGAGAGAAAAGAGGAAAGTGTGTAAAATAAAATAAAATAAAAATATCACTAACGACAATCTTTAGTTTCATAAAACAAGTTTTTTAAACGAATTTTGAAAAAAAAAAAGTTAAAAAGTAAATTTAAACATTTTTATAACAAATACGTTTTTTTTTTTACCAAAATTAAACCGAAAACTAAAAGGCTAATGACAAAAAAAAGCCTAAACTTTATCCTTTTTTTATCAATTCTAGCTAGTTCTTTTAATTTTATCAATCAATATTGCGTACTTAGTTTTCTGTATCAATTTTAGTATCCATTTTAAAAATAACATTTTTAGAAGACTCTTCAGTAAAATTGAATTCTAATTTATTAATCCCATTATACACTTAATATATATAATTTATTTATTTATTTAATTGAATAAATATCAATATAACCAAATGATTTGATAGAGATTAATTAGTATGCGGTATCATTGATAAAATTAAAAGAATTGGCCAAATTCGATAAAAATCTTAAAGTTCAGACCTTTTTTTTAATATATATGGATATATGATTTGAT